TACTCCTGGATTTTAAACTGCTGCTATAGTGGCTGGAATGCCATGTTTTCTGAAGTTATAGAGGTAGTTTGCTAGATTTCAAGGCAGCTTTCTGATTAGGAGATCACAACTTAGGGCCTAGTGCATTATCTGAATGAAGACAATTGTGACTTATTCAAGAAACTATGGTTAACAAACTAAATTTGTCAGCCTGCCCAATGTGGATCAGATTTCTCCAGTTGTCTGCTCTCCAGTTGGTACTATGTTGTGAATTTTGGGAGTAGTAACTCTGGCACATTTCCATTACTCCTTCCTATGTATAGAAGGAATTATTCTGACCATATGGATTAACATTCAAGGGAACTGAGGCTGGAGAACATCAAATTGAGGTCAAGCATACTATGAATGTGGAAGCTTTATTATCTTGTTTATTATTTGTCATACTCAGCTGTATTCAGATAGTCATAGTAAAAAATATGGTAGGTTATGAATCAGTCCCAAACAGGAGTTTAATATTGTCCTTTTCAACCCCAATTTTTAAAGTTTTATAAACATTATATACTTTTCACTAAAAGGAAAACCCTCATAATTATCTTCAGTCATAAAATGAACAGCAGTTCAGCAAATGCTCAGTTCCATTTTCACTGTAACCAAATTTTGTAACTTAATATTTCAGATAGGTGAGGAGATATATTTCTAGTCCAGCTTTTTAAAAATATATTAATGTTGGAACTTCAGTTATACAGATTAATTTTTGAGGCAAACTGAAAATGCAGTTGAATTTTAGACATATAAATAAAGCAAGACAATCCCCAAATTTATCATGTCGCTTCACTTCTGATTGTGATAATTCATGTTGGCTTTAAAGGACAAGAGCACTCAATACTACTCATAGACTATTCAAATATCAACTACCTCTTTCCCCCACCTCTTCCCATTTCCTTCAAAGCTGTCTTGACTGATGAAAAGATTTTGAAATTCTATTTCTATTGTCATAATAAATGGATTATTTCAGTAAGGATCTTTTGTCTGATGATCAACATAGTTATATGTTTTCATAGTTTTCATAGTTTTGATTACTGATACTCTGGGTATGCTGCCCAGAGTTATATTTGAGTTGAATGGCCATATAAATACTTTAAATAAACATACAAAGCTGTTGTTCTTGAGACATTTTCATGTGACTCTGTTTACTTCCTGAGTTGCTTTTCTGCTAGAACTTGCTATAATGATCTACCATTGTAAAATTACTTTATTATTAAATAGTAATTCTTTAGATGCTTATGAAAGATAGAAATAAAAAGCCCCTTTGTGTTGATTTTATATTTTATTTATATCATCTCACATATGTACAAATTAAGAAAAAAATCATCAAACATAATTTGTATATTAAAATTAATACTACCATCAAAAACATGCTTAAGCAAATATTTTTTCACACAAGTCTCACTTATAGGATTTATGGTTCTGTGCTTAGTTATTAAGCATCTGGGCTGTGCAGTCCAACAATAATTCAGAAATACTCAAGACCTCAAGAGACCATAGCTCTGCTATTCATTAAAGTAGCATAACTGTTTCAACCTCCTGTGCAGGCCCTAAAAAAGGGACTGCTACTATAATGAGTTCTCTCTTACTATAATCTCTTAAAATCATCTGCACATTTATTTTCAGCCTCACAGAAAAAAGTTGGGCTGCTTTAATGAATAGCAGAGAGGCAGTGTGCTTTTGAAAAATTGGAGACATTTTTCTTTTTAAAGAAATGCTTTGCCAACATAACACATATTAGTTTCTGACACATACATGAATTCTGCATTATTTACCGATAAGTGCTTTTTATTATAGTTACTGATTGTGAATCAGATAGAAAATTCAGCTCTCTGTTCAACCATGATTTGTAGTTAATTATATCTCATACTGAGCATATCTTTGGCCTCACTTAGCCAACATTGAGTAGTGTTGTCTCATTGACTATATTCAGAAAAAGGTAATCAAAGATTTAACTCTTCCTATAAAATCAGTTGGACTTTAAATACTAGATGCTGTAACTACTGAAGTCTGTCCATGACATTTATTTAATTAAAGAAATGTATATGGATATACAATAAAAATATAAAACAAAGACTATTAAAATGAATAATAATAATAAAAATAAACTTCTATTTAAAGAGAGATGTTTCGTAATGAAGAAGACATTATGGGATGCTACCCAATGAAACTGAGTAGCCTGATGTAGGTAGTCTCTTACTGCAAGTCAGCTAGGTGTCGAAAGAACCTTAACTCAGTGCAACAGGAAGAAGGGAGGAAGAAATTGTCTAAAATAGCTTCAACAAGACATTTGTGTGTTTTGCGTATGTGTATGTGGAATCAAATATAGGAGATTAATGGAATCCAACAAATTTGGATTGTGGGTGGCTATTGTGTTTTGCCCAATGGGACTGGACTGAGCGAAGTTCTAGTAAAAAATGTGACAAGTAGTGAAGTGTGTTATTGTAAGAATCATGAAGCAAATAATAGCAACTGGACTACCCCAGAAGTTATGTATAGGGAATGTGAAAAATATGCCTATACTAGCCTCCCCACTAGGTGGTTTGGACCCGGTGTAACGAGATTCATAAAGCAACATAGGGGAATCTCTATGGAAGGAATGAATTCAGGCTTGGAAAGCAAAGAGCCCTTGAATCCCTAGATACCAGTGATGCCCCAATACTTGAAACTCTAAAAGGGCCTACACATAGGTGGAGGGTGGCACTCTGGGAGCTAATGGACATACAATTAAATTTGACTTCAAACTGTGGTAGAAACCCCCTTAAAAGAGGTGACTGCAGTCTTGGGAACCTAGCAAAAGAGAAGTGTGGAAAAAACATTGTGCAAAACAAGCTAGCCCTAATAAAAGTTTTGGAGCATAGCAAATTGGGTTGGTGAAGGGTTCAACAAAGTCTGCTGTATTAGGATTCTGGGTTGTAATGTTTCTCTCCTGTTTGATTCCCTTTATAAGAGATGTCGTACTATCAAAGTTTAAAAGAATCAAAAGTAATAAAAGGAATTAGGTATCTCCTTTTGAAATGATGTTTTAAAGACCCCCTGTCATAAGTACTATATTGAGAAATAATATAGGGGATTTAAGTCAATTGGGGGATTCATGGGTGAGTCTAATGAGTGGTACGTTTGAAGAAGCGCCCCCTATAACTGCCCTACCAGCAATGGGCAGGCAACATATGGGGCAGAAGAGGCCTTACTGGTGTCACTCTGGAAGCTGACCCTCTACGTATGGCTGAAAATAAGAACAAGTAAAACAGATGTTAATGTGTTAGGGATAGAGTGTGTGGTGGAAGGATATATTCTTTTGAATCCTTTTAAAGGATTTTATGTATCAAAAAGGGGGTTAGACTAGATGACCTAGAGGGGTCTCAAATTTTAAAAGCTGATATGTTTAAAGTGCTTATCTGAGTTGAAGAAACCACAACATGCTCTTTGCTCAGTTGCCTAGCTAAGAGTTTCCTGTTCAGTGTGGTCAAACTTCCCTGTCTCAATAGAATACCTAAACTGCAAATATGCTTCCAAGGGAAACAAACTATAAATTGTATTGTTTAAAGAAAGTTCGTTTTTCCAACTTCGACTCATCTGAGAAGGATTTGTAATTGCCTACTTTTGCAAAAGCATTAATCTTGTCGTGCCTAACATTATTATAGCAAGGACTAATCTAAGATATCATAAAAGTGAGACTTAATTGTTAAATAAAGTCTCAAAAGTGGGGAATAAGGCAGGACATGAAAATATATTAATTTTAGAGAAATAATGATACAAGTTTTATAGATAGTGAAATATGTGGTATTAGCAAGAAAAAGAACAAGGAACTGTGAAATGTCAAACCACAAGGATCATCTATCGGTCACAAAGTCATATTTGCCAAGATACCTTGTCTCGCTTGTAACAAAACCACAAGCTAGGGAGTTTAGCAAGATAGGTTTGTGACATCCAGCCATCCTAGCCTAGCAACAGGGGATGGGAAAAGCTGTGTTTAAAGTAACCAAGGAATGACAAGTTATATTTCTTTGTTTTGCCTCTTCTGAAGAAGCATGTAGGCATGTGCTGTTCAATAAGAAAGTTGTTCAGAAGTGACTCTCACTAAAATACTCTGAACCTGTTTGTGCATAAAAAACCAACTTATTTTTGGATTCCAAGGTCTGAGTCTCGTAATTTCCTGCAACTATATTAATGGGATAAAAATCATACTGTATATAGGACATTCTTGTAAAACAGGTAAATTTGTCTTCTGGTACTTAGGATCTGATCTTTTCTAACAAAGATCCTTTAGGAGATTAAAAAATTAGTCTGGTGGGGGAGTAGACACTTGCACTTGCTAATACAAATGCAAAAACTATAAAGTAAAAGATCCATCTGTCTTCTAATCTTGTCCCAACAGTTTTACGTTAGCATTAATAATCTGCTCTGCAACCGGCCAGCAGTTCTCCCTAGAAAACTGTAGCCTCTGTCAAAATTCAGTTAAAATTTACCTTCTTCTGAATACTGTTATTTGGTGGATTTAAACCAATCTGAAGTTGAACCAATTTTGATAGCAGCTGCAACTGTATTTACTGTACACCTTGTTTGCTTCTTTGTATCAGCCATCTAAGGAGCAATTCTGAAGGAGCCTAAAGATCAATAACTTAGGAAGAGCTCCGCTTGAACATTTCCATCTTTTACATTCCATTAAACTCTGATCAGGCAAAGCTTTTGTTTAATTTTCCTTCTCCCCAGTTCCATTCACTTTTTCTAGCATCTTGTCTCATGAAGAAATTTGAAGATCTTAGAAGGGTTTATATTTTTGAACTTGCCTAATCCAAGCGTTGCCCTGCCCCCCCAAAGATTTTGGAATTGTGCAATGAATGTGTCCACAAAATTAGCAGCTAGCTTCAATATGCCACACGTGGTTTGGATTCTGAGCAATACGTATTGTGGTTGCAGTTACTGTGCTGAAGCAGAAAAATATTTCCTTGTAATGGACCAGTTGTGAACATTTATTAGATCACCGCTATATTGTTCATTATACAGCCACATTTTTCTACAATCATATTAGGAAACTCTGCCACTTCAATTTCTGTGTAGTTTCCCTTTTTGACAAGATACATCATGGGAAGAGGAGAACTCTCCACTACAGCACAGGATCTCTCTCCATAGCCAAAATGATGCAGCAAATTCTTTGGCTGCCAGCAGCTGCCCATACAATGGTAAGCTTGATAGCCAGCTGGCTCAATAATCCAGTACTGAGTCCAAGTCAACTCACGGAAATTGATATAATGTTCTTCCCGGCAGCAGGTAGACCTCTCTATCATGCTTCCTTCTCCACAGTCCCCAGGTCCTCTGTTAAAAAAGCAGAATCAATATTCATCTAAGATGTAGGGTGAGAACTGGACCCACATGCTGAAAGTTTTCAGCAAGAAACAGACACATACAAAACTTTAGGCAAGAACAAAAATATGTCTTTGATTGTTTTAATGATGCTGTCTGTTTATTAATTACATGCTCAACTCTCTTGGCTTTTCTCTCACACACTACTTCAACATCTTCCATTTTTTTCCTTTAACAGTTGTCCGAAAGATGCTTTTTCAGGGGGCAATTGGACGTTCTTGTTTTTTTCTTTGAAGATGCTTTTTTCTTTGAATCCTTCAATTCCCCACTGTCCTGTGAGAGCTGAAGAAGCTTCTTGGATGAGAAATGAAATATCTTTTTAAAAAAACAACCAAGAAAGTCCAGTTGCCTCCTGAAAAAGCACCTTGGGATCTCAGTCATCCAAGTCATGACTGAGAGGACAGAAACCTCTCAGTCATGACTTGGATGACTGAGACTACAGACTTTCCTCTAACAGTTATGTCAGGTAGATTATAATGACTCATCTAACATTACCTGACTTACTTCTTGATGAGCAAGGATTTGTACTATAAGCCACTCTATATTCTGTATCACATTCATTTGTGTATGTGTGTGTGTATGTGTATACATAAATTTACTACATATCTGTAGCAATTATAAAGTATAGTCCTCTCTGATAAGGTGTTGTTTTAATTAATCAAAGGCAGACTAATTCCAGATTTTCCCCCCACTAGCAGAAGCACTCCCAGATATGGTCTGCTAAAGTATTACTGTTCATGTAAAGTGTTTTGTACTAGTTGTGAAATGAGAAATGATTTGTATGTCACTCTATGCATATTTATTCAGAAGTAAGCAAGGAAAAATTCAAGGCCTGCCAACTTTCTTGAGAGTCTTGTTGAACATGGAATTATTTGCAATTGAACAAGGTAAAGGACATACTAGGTAAAGGACATAGTAAACAGCCACTATCTTGAATAAACTAAGTCAAAATCCAGTTGACTTTAGCTTCAAGTAAACATCATTCAGTATAGGTTGGAAGCTGCCAAATTTTGCCTTGGATTTTTTTAAATCATGAAAGACAGAAATGAAACATTGTCATTATGCAGAAATATCATGATATTTACCCATATTCTTCCAAGTTAAGAGTGTAAAGGACCAACTCTGGTTTGCCTAGTGTCTTGTCTGAAGGATCCTGTGATGTAAAACGCACAACTTTGGCCATTTCAGAGGCATAGCTGCCCAATCTTTCTCCTTCAATCCAAATCTCCAGAAACATTGGTCCAGAGGCTTTTGTTTTCAGCCAGAAATGTACAGCCTGAGTAACATCAAAATTCCTCCAGCCAGACTCCATAATGGGAACTAATCTAAAGTTTAAAAAGCATGAAATACTTAGCTTAGCTGAGCTTAGATTTTTTTGGTTAATGCACGCTTACTATGAGTAGAAGGAGAAGATGAAAATACTAACAACAATAGCTTCTAACATAGGCTTTTACTCTAATTTCCTTTTTCTAGAAAATATAAAAAAATAACATTTGAACAGAATAAAAATATACTATATTCAAACAAATTATGGGCAAAATGCATAAATGGCACAGAAATAAACGAATGAAAAGTAGAAGAGTTATTAAATTAATGCTACAATACACAAAATAGTATAAAACAAAGAAGAATCTGGTTCTTATTGTTTCCTGCTACCAATTAAATACAACAGATAAATCCAAAATGTAAGATATATTGATTTAGACTGGGAATAAAATATTTCTGTGATCCTAAATTTTCATGTTTTTATAAATCATGTGAGACTATCTGAAAACCATTGAATATCTACATAGGCAAATACCTTATTTTATGGCTGTTATATCCAAACTGCAAAACCTGGATTACCCTTAGATGGCACCAAGGAGACACAGAAAATTTTAACTCTTTGCTACCACTGAGTAGTTATTTTGATCTCTGAAGTCCAGAAATAGTAGCTATGCCTTATTTAGAATCTATTTTGTGTGGCTACCCCAATATTGTGGGCTGATGCTCTTGAGTTTGAGACCCCAGCTTAATCTATGTTTCAATGTTTATCATCATTTCTCAGGAGAACAAGTGGCTGCATTCAAATATCAGATTGAATCATGGTATTATGACTTACACAACGTAGATGCATACATTGCTACAAACTGTAAACTATTATTTATTAACAACAGTGACAGAATTCACACATACTTAACATTAAGTCAAACACAGCATTTGAACAGGGTTATATATTATTAAGTTCTTAGAAAGTACTAAAAAAAATGAATTGCAGAAACATTGTTTAAGTTATATAATGTTGATTATACAATTTTAAACTGGCTACACTGGAGACAAAATAACCTTCCCATGCTGCAAAATACTATTTGAGACTGTGGACTCTCTTTCATACCTGGAATCAATTAAAGAGGTCCGATTAGTGCCATTATCTTGAGGTTGCACCCAGTACACTGTTACCCTTGCATTCATGACTGGTCTTTGTGCCTGCCTGCTGGGCAGATGTTTCTTCTCCAGGGGCTTTTTGAAAAGCTTCAGTTCAGCCATGGTGACTTCACTGTTTTCTGGAATCCTGCCTTCCATGTCAAAGATCAGGTTCTGACGGGTGGTATCTGAATAGAGAATGTCTCCTGAGATATCTTTGTGGGTGGAAACAAAAGGAACATTTTAAATCATTATTTCCAACTGCCATGTCCTACATACAAGAATTATACAGGACATACAAGACATTCCTTATTTCTCTGGAAGAGTGATGTTTCAATTATCTGGTAGAGATTGTACTGTATAATCCAGCATATCTGGAGGACATAAGATTATCAAAGGCTGTTTTAAATAATAACAACATGAAATGGAGAACTTATTGAAATCCTAGAAGACAGACATCCAATTCCTTCTATTTTTTATTACCAACTTGCACTTATCAAACCTTCCTTACATAAACACAGTATAACAATTTGAAATAATGATTAGTAAGGCATACCTTAACCACACATATTTAATTCAATGAAAAGCTTTATGGTATTTGCTCATGACAATGTTTTCTACTAGTAACATCTTACATAAACAACAAATAGAGGTCGCATACTGTTATCTGGTAGGCATATATTTAGAGAAGATAAATGTACTCATGAATTTCTTTCCGCAACCTGGTACCCTCCAGATATGTTGGGGAAAGACTTTCCAGACAGCATAATCGTTTTAAAAAATGCTTTAATGATCAATAGCTTTCCCCCTAAAATACATCATGTATTTTCAATGCTTTAAAAATAATACATGTATAACTTTCAGAGCAAATTTTAAATGTTTATCTCTTTTCCTTTATCAACATTTCTCATTGTTTGAGTCACCAAAAATTATTTATGTAGTGAGAGCCATAACATGGGACTTTCCTTCATTTGCTTTTAAATAACAATTACATAGTTTCTTATAATGTTTTTATATTCAACATGTTCTTAAAAGCAGCGATTAGTCTCATTTAGAGAAAATGTGCTAAAACAGCAAATATTTTTTCTCAGTAATCACATTTAAGATTGTGTTACAGTAAACAGAGGCAGTGTATTCAGTATTTGCAAGGAAAGTAACGTAACTTTATGAACAATACTACAGTATAGTATTTACGTTATCATCTTTACAACTGGCTAAACCCTACCTCATCTCTCCTTTATGAGAAATGAATTGGATTTCCTGAGAAATCCTGAACTTAAATTTAATTGTTGCAGATATTTTAGCTTAAAATATTTTAGAAATCCTGTCTTCCTGTGGTTTGGGTTAAATCTGTTAAGCAGTTGGCATTAATGAAGTTTCAGGTTTAAAAAGGGGATGGAGAATTTGCTTTTAGCTTCATGTAAATATGAAACCAAGTTTACCTGCGTTGCCTGGAACTCCTCTCAAGATTCCAGCTAAACTTGGCAATGCTCTTCGTTTCACTCTGTGCCGCTCCAGCATGGACATGTATTTATTCCTTATATTCTCTGGAATCACTAGATTTTCCAGGTCAGTCATCTGGAGAGCAGGGACATCTGGAAGTTTCAGTTTCTCCAGCAATATTTGCTTGAGTCCTTTCTCACTAAATCCAGCAGAGGTGGCAGCTAGGAACAGGGCAGAGGTTAAGGCCCAGCTAAGACTCACAGCCATCCTTTGTTAATCAATCAAACAGGGAAAGATTCTCTAAATCTCTCCTTTCTCAGCACAAGTTTTGCTTGGTAGAGAAGAGATTGTGCTCTGAAACTGCAGGCTGCCCGAATGGGAAGGATGCCTTTTATATAGTGAGTGAGATATCGCTGGCATAACAAATTCCACAAGCTGAAGTGAGGCAGAGGAAATGGAAGTGTTACATCCCCTTGGATACATCCAAGCCATGGTCACACTTCCCAAGTTTAAGCAATAAGATGAGAATATTGAGAAGCTTAGTGTTCTTACTTCATTTATATTTTCCTTCTTAGGTAGCCCCATTCCAGAAAATATATCTATACAATGGGAATTACGTTACTCGAAGAGCCTTTTGTTTTTGGAATAAACACATGGATTTGCAGGATGGCAGAGGAAGTATAATTTAGCCACCATTTAGAGGAGCAGCACACTAATTATATACCTCATATAATTTTGTCTATTATTAGATCCTATTCCATCAACTGCAGATTGTTGTGAAATCAAATGGAAATGCAAATTCCATATCTATTAAACTTTGGGCATAAACTATGGCACACGCACGCACACACACACACACACACACACACACACACACACATATATATGAGATATATATTAAAATAAAGTTTTCCAAAATAATCTCTTTGATACTAGGGTGTGACTATATATAGACTGTTATTTTGTTGTTAGGTGTATGAATTGTAAATAACATTGTACTTAATTGTGCCCTAGCATAATACTTTTTAATTTCTAAAGCCTAAAAATATATAGACCAAACCTTTTGAATGTGTATTTGTATTTTTTATTATGGTTTCCTCTAACTTTAAGTATATTATATATACTTAAAAGCATGTTTGTTCTATTTTGCAGTTGTAATTTGTTGTTCCATAAAACTCAAGCTTGTAAAATTGTATTATTGCAGTAAGGCCAAGCACTACAGAATTACAAAAACAAAAAGTAGAGGCCTCCCCTTTTCTACTTTTTCACTTTAGGAAAACTTACCTTTTTGTCTTTATATTGACATTTCTAGTTATTTGCTGTCTCCAACTTTAATGCATTGAAAAATAATAAGAACAATTTCACATGAAAAGCTACTATAACATTTTGTTCCTGCACATGTACTATAGATCAAAAGTCATCAAGCATGGCCTAGGGTAACTGTTACCTCTCCATATTTTTTTCCAATAACCAGAGATTACCTTAAGTACAACAAATTTCTCTACTCCTTTTTAAAAATCATCCAACTTTGTGACTATCTCATCTTGCATCTAATTGTGTAAAAAAGCATGGCCACTTTAAAGTTTCAGAAAATTATTACATTTGATATTTGATCCTTGGATAGACTACTGTAGATACAATGATTGTTGTGACTTATGATAGACCAGAAGCCATTGTGGACTTTCTGCAAGTGAAATACAATAAATAGATTGCTAACAAGGGGTTTAGAAGTTTAATTTACAGTAGCTGTTGGTTTTTAACCTGTTAACTATGTTTTCATAGACTAGACAGATGTCAGGCTAAGTGGCTTGGGTAAATAGCGTTATAGAAATTTACAAATTGTGTGCCTGCCTGTTTTAGTTTTTGGAGTTTGTATTTTAATGCTTTGAATAAAATAAAAAATCGTGTTTTTTTTTTAAAGAAAACAATTACATTTACTCTCATTCCAAAACAGCTGGATTGGGAAATATGCTGGATTGGCGTACTGTTCCACAATGGTCAGTCACATGCCTAAGAAAAGCTCTCATCCAGGACATGAGTACAATAGACAATCCCAATAGCTGGCATTCGGAGATAAGAATAATTGTAAATCCTAAAACAGCACAAGGCCATCATGCCTAATAGCTATTAATCCCCTATTAATTTATTTAATCTTTTCTTAATCCCTACATCTTTGCACAGAAAATTAAGTGATTAGCATGCTGAATCTTCCACCATTCAGTGGGTGGTCCAGGTTGTGCAGTTACAAGAAAGAAAATCTTCCAATAGAGTTTCTATAAAGAATGCAGTCTCCAAGTTGCATTCAACTCCTGGAGACATCACAAAGACATCAATGTAATTTTCCTGGTAATAAGAAGAGATTTGCTTCCTTGTAGAAGGGATTTGTTCCTGCTTTTTTTTTTCAAGAATGCTGGTTTGACTTCCTGGTCTAGTCTGCTATCCTGATATTCCTTGATGGTCTCTGGTCAATTTACTAACCAGACCCAACCCTGCTTAGGAGCCAAGTCCAGGTTGCCATTTGCTGAGATTGGTTTTACCTTTATTGTGCAGAATTCCAGAAACTGGTATTCATATCTTTCTATCAAAATAGGCCTAACTTGGCAGATGCTCCTTTTTTCCAGTTCTTTTTCTTCAACTCTGGTGTATCCTAGTACAGCAGTATCAATAAATTGTATGCTTTATTATCATCATCATTATTGTTGTTGTTCTTGTTGTTGTTATGTATTACTAAGGTACCATTACATTTTCTTCTAATTATCCTAGCATATGCTTTGTACAGAATCCAAGAATATCACAATCCGTATTTCAAAAGGTAAATTTCAGTTATCATTTCACTTGCATTTGAGAATTACTATAAGGTGATTTGAATCAATTATCCAACACTTTGAAACATAAGAGAAGCATTTAATACAAAATTGGTATCTATTCTGAGAAAAAAAACACAAGCATTTAAGAGAAAGAATACTACTTTATATCAATAAAAATTATAAACAAACCTATTTTATTACTGATAATTAAAAGGCAATTACAGCCATTCCAACTTCCCCTCCAGAACAGATTTTGTTAAGAAACACAGAAGTAACTGAAAAAAGAAGAAAGCAGAAAGTCAATAATACCTGCATAATCTCTTGTAAAACATTGCATTTACTGAGGGACAATAGAAGCATTTTCAGCACAATAGAAGCATTTTCAGAAAATATACAAAACATAGACCATGTTGTACTATGAGCTGGGTTCAGCAGTTATTACTGAGAAAAGCTGGTATCTGCTTAAATTACTGTTACTAATATACTTCTTTCCTGGAGTGCAAATACAGTTCTAATTTATCTTTTTCCCCCATTGGCTTGAACAGTAAGTAAAATCAAACCTTTGGGGAATGATTTTTGCAGCTGCAGTCTCTAGATTAGAGATTGTTTTCTCCTCTGTGTGGTGTCCAGTCTAATAGACTGAAATCTCTTTAAGTTAAATGTGTATTGGAAGCAGGTTTATGACCACCACAGGTGAAATAAAATTATTAAACAGACAGCTGAACTCAATTAGAACAAATAAAATGTGGATTGAAGAGGATTTCACACAATGGTGATTATCTGCTCCAATTGCTGGATTTACTATTCCTTTTTTGTCATGCAAACAAGAAAAGGCAAGCATTATGTAGGTGAGCTTTCTGAGCAATGTGTATTGGAACCTACACGGTGGATTTAAAACGTCAGACAAGGGATTTAAAGTGTCTGCTTAGAATGAAATATGAGAGAGAAAATGAGAATCTCATTTTCAACCAAAAGTGCAGGTAAAGTTTGCATTGGTCATGCCTGTAAATAAAAGATTATTCTTTGACTGTATAACAGATACTTATAAAACTCATAAGTATTATCTGTTTGCTGCATAATTAACAACATGCTTCTTTATTAATAAACGTAGGTGTTAATAAGGAATTGTGATTGGTTTAAGTCTAATTGTAAAGATGTTGCAAGATAAGCATGGTGAATATTTTACATACATTTAAAATAATAAATTTTCAGATCCCATTCATAAAAGAATATCATATTGTGGGACGCAGGGAAGGGGGCTATTTGTCTTTTAGAACCAGTGTTTTAAAGGTCAGTTCTGACCTTGCTGGTTTTTGGTATGACTCTCAAGATGTGGATGTGTTCCCAGGCATAGCAGTCAGTGGAACCCATTAACTGATTAAATTTTGTTTGATTCCTTGACTTGTTTGTATTTCCTCTGATGTTATGGTATTATTTGTAAATGATGTGAACTGCCTAGTTTCTATTGTGAGATGGGCTTCTGTCAAAATTGAAGAAATTAAATAAACTGAATAATCGTGCAATTTTTTATTTATTGTGTATTTCAGTTTTAGTTTGCTTTTGCTGAAGATTGAGTTAACCCACTCTTTCTGTTTTTACAATTTTAAAATAGATTAGACTAAAAGAATTAGTTAACTCCACAAAATGTATTGTCAATTTTTTAAAAGTGATGATTCATTGAACAATGATCTGGATTGCGTATAAGGTTAAGCTTTAATGGGTGGAATCACACATCACACTAAGCTAAAAACACTCATGAAATTGAATCTTGGTTGAATTTTATGTGTGAATCAGATCATGCCACTTGATACCAAAGCTTTCAGTAATCCTCCCATCTGAGTAAGAATAAATGCCTCCTGCCCACACTTGACAATCCCTTGTACCTTAAAAATATATAAAAGCAACATGAAGTTTCTTAAATAAAAGGAGAACATTTTATTTCACATAGATTAGAGGTACCCCATTATTCATTTAATAAACAAAGAATTTACATTTTTTGTTATTCTCTTCTATCAACCCAAAAATGTTAGAGAACAGAGATAATTTCCATTAAGTGCCTTTTCATATTTATGCAGTACAGATATAATTCTATTTTAAGAGTTTTCAATATTGTAACAAAAAATAGCAAAGAATGTAAAAGTGACTTGGAATCATAGAATTAGAAGGAACCAATGAGACAATTTACTCTACCTATAGGAAGACAATCAAATAATTCATGATAAATTGTTTTCAGCCTTCTTGCTTCCTTCAGTCACTGTTGCTTCCATCTTTATATGGTCTGATAAATAACACTTTGCAAGGATTACATCTCAGCAACTTTATTTTTGTGGGGGGGATAGGGTTGAGAATTCATGGTTGTGAAACTATCTAGTCACTTTTTTTTCAGCCTCTTACATACATCCTTCTTTAGGCATTTAAAATTGCCCACATGGCTGCATTTTGTACCAGCTGAAGCTTCCG